AATTTGAAATTCTGTTTTTTTTTTAGTATTGGTTAAATTCTACAAAACAATTTTGAGCCTTCCGAGTTAAGTAGCACACTTGAATTAAGAGGCCTCCCTCTTGTTTAAGTGTGGACTTGAACTTGAGGCCCAATGCTAATTAATTAGGCTCTTTAGAGACAATACTTAATAGAAAATCGTAGTTCTTTTAGGTTGGCCTTTAAAATAGAAACGAGGTGCGCCGCGCCAAATAAAATTCATAAATCACGCGGCCCTCTTTAAATACTTATATTAAAATGCTTAGAATTCGGGACGTGCCCTTTAGCGAACATTCATGGCTTCCCGCAAAGATAATAATACGCTAGTCACTTTAGGCGCGAATTTTAATAATATTACCTTCCCAAACTCGGGTGTGCATTTCATGCGACCCAAATCCAAATCCCAAAACGTTGAATAAGAGGTGCTGAGGATCCGGGTGCATTTCATGTGACGTGATCCAAAAACACGCTCTTAAACGGCGTTCACTTTTGTAAAAAGTAAATAAAAGCGGTAAATAATTTATAAAATTGCACTATAGGTTTGAACTTGTATAAAAATCAGATTTTTAGCCATTTGTAATAATTTAAGCGACCGTGCTAGAACCACGGGATCCGGGGGTGCCTAACACCTTCCCTCGGGTCAACAGAATTCCTTACACAGAATCTCTGGTTCGCAGACTCCAATTGGGAAGTCGAAATTTTTCCTCGATTTGGGATTTAAATTAAATCGGTGACTCGGGACACCAAAAGCCCATCCTTTCCCGAGTGGCGACTCTAAAAATAAATAAATAATCCCATTTCGAATGATGTCACTTTAAATGGAAAAACTCCCTTATACATTTATCCTTTGGGGTAGGTGTGTAAAAAAGGAGGTGTGACACTCACAATTAGCATGATTACTACTGTGTATGTCTTTCATGTTCATTGCTTTAAATTAGCAAGACTACTTCTGTTGCTATGTCCTATTCAGTATGTTGTGGAATCTGACTATTATAAGATGTCAACCTGTTTTTTCCTGTGTTATGTTTCTGATAACTAGCATGCCCTTAACTCTCATGAAATTGTCTTGTCCAATATGTCAATGTGGTTCACACACTTTAGCATGTTCTTATTTGATAATGGATGCTTATCTACTTGTTTTCTCAACTAGCATACTTGCCCTGTTTTACGTGTTCCTGACTTCTGTGTTCCCAACCCCTGCTACCTCTCTCTGTGTAGTTGTCTGTTTATTATTCTGTTCCCAGCATACTATCTGACCATCTAGTGATGATTAATGAACTAAGTCAAATCTAGGCAATGTGAAACTTTGCTTGAAGTGGTTGTGATCCTGTTTCTGCCTACTGTTTGATCGCTGGAATCTTTGTTTGAATTCTAAGTGTTGAAATGACTTTGTTTGTTCTTATTTACTCCTAAAATCCAAACTGTTTTCTTAAAACTATCTCTTATTTTTATGTACAATTTTCAACTCCTACTCTTAGAATATCTAGGGTCTTGCCCCTCCATTGTGAGCACTGCCTAGGAGTCCATCAGACTCCTCCGAACTCTGACACACTGGGGGTGGCTTTTCCAAACTTGTTCACAAAATTGTTTCTTTGAAAGGGTTTCTGGTGTGAGCATTGCCTGGGGTCCCTGAGGCCCTTGGGAACTTTGACGCACCAGAAGGCCATTTGGTGTACTATGAGATACTGGCATATTTCAGACTTGGTTGAAGGCCTGGTTTTCAGGTTTACTTTTAGCCCTATCCAGGCTCCCTATAGTATAGCAATTTCATTCTGTAATTCATTTATATCTGGTCTGTAATAATAATTCCTGTAAAAACAGATATTAGGGTTATTAGTAAAACCGGAAAGGGACTATTGTGATGATATTTATTTGCATTAGAAACTATGTTCATGGGGTTTATCTCATTATGTTGAATTCTCATCCTAGAAATCCTGCTTCTAGGTCGTTTACCCATTCTGCAATAATCTTGTTTTCAAAACCTCTATGTGTGCATTAGAAATCATGTTTCTGGGATATTTTGTTGCACTCACTTGGCAATTAATTGACACCTTTATTCGCCTAGATATCATGCCTATAGAAAAATATATATAAAATCAGTTTCATCGCTTAACCATCATGCCTATAAGGAATTAGTATTAAAACAGTTCCAACACTTAGATATCATGCTCATAGAGATAAACCTGTAAAATTAGTTCTGTAATGCTTGTGATCATTTTCAACACGTAGACAACATGCCTATAGGGTCTAAACGGATAAAATCTGCCTGTTTAAACTAGTCATTGGTTTATAATACATCTAGACATCATACCTATAGGATCCCGCCGATTATCGCCTAGGCAAGCCTGTAGGATAATTAAAACCCTGAAGTTGCCAAAAACTCTATTTGTTTGACTGCTTATAAACTGTCCCGGTTCAGGAAGTAATAAAATCAGTAGGCAAACTGATTAGGTATTTACTGCCTCGCCTCAATGAAATTGCTGCATATTTTGTGCTCATCTAGATATCCTGCTATAGGACTTTAAATCGTTTAAAACTGTTTGTTTGAGGCGTGCAATTGTTTGCTTATTTGTGGAGGTAAATGTGAGCCCCTTTAACTGCTCCTTATGTGACAGTCCTACCTGTTTTGTTTGACGCCTAGTTTTCTCTTTTTATGCACCATAGATAAGTCTAGAACCACCTTAACTAGAGGTCCTAAGCACCTCCAGGGCCCTAGGCAAGGGACGGGTAATGCATGCATAGGGTACGTATTCGATGTTGTTAGAACGCTTAGGTAATAATTAAGGGGAGGGTAATCGGGTAGTTAAGGATATGATGACCTGTGCGCAAATGCTACGCGTAACACCTCTATTTGAGGAAAGTTTACCGAGTATTGCACAGAAGTGATCATATAGGCTAAAAACCCTAGGACCCCTTTACTCCCTGTTTTTAAAGTAATGTAGGTTTGTTTATTTGCTTATAAGACTAATTCACTTAAATTGAGTTTGGCCGGGACCCACCATTGTGGACCTCGAGGGGTGCCTAACACCTTCCCCTCAATGTAATTTCGAGCCCTTACCCAATCTCTGGTACCGCAAACTGGTTTCATCAGTCAATTGTTCTAGGTGCCCTAACACACCTTAATCCATTAGGTGGCGACTCTTCAAATCTCATAACCAATTCCCAAAAGGAAAAGGAGTTGTCCCAAAATGTCGAAACCCGGACTCCGCGAGGAAAAAGGGGGCGCGACAGAAGTGACATACCACGCGATAGTTCTGAAGAAGACGCAATGATACATGAGAAACGGCAGCAAAAAATTCCCGCCATAAATATGATCTACTTCCCAAATATTCAATTGCTGAATAATTGGTAAGTGGGGGGACTATCTGTATTGGTAAAAATAAATATTACACGTAAATTTATATATGTGGCTGATGTGACAAGACACATGGATCACTAAAAAAGCGACAGCTGGAGAGATGCATTAAAAAGGCATGAGTCGTAATAGGTACCAGCAAATCACCTACGAGATAAAAGGGGTATGATCGCTCGAGTCTGAATTTCTACATGAAGAGACGCCGGAATAATGAGTCAAGAAAGAAGGAAGATTCATAAATCGTCAATTAATGTGCATGAATGATCATAGACGCTACAGAATCTTCATGAATAGTTACGATTGCCAATTATAACATCTCATTAATATCATTAATGCTCATAATGATTTAGTCATAAAAGGGAAGAAACGTTGTACTTATAGATTCCTATATCAGGGAAGGAGATTCACTTGTAAGAACACGTTCTGACTATTATTGGAATACAATTACTTTCTTTTGCTTTCTATATATCACTTTGCTATTTCACATTCTAATTTCCTTTTTTATCACTGAGAAAATATAGAATTTCTTTATTATCAGTAGCCCGAATACTTCTAAAAATGAGCTTTGACCGAAGTACACAATTTTTGATTAAACAAGCATGCGATTATTTCCATCAAGCTTTTCGTAATTCTAACAGTGCAGCCTCTCCTCAAATTGGGTTATGTCCATCTACATGTTGAACAATATTATTTCATGTTTAATTATAGGTATTAGCTAATTTCGAAATAAGTTTTACACTAAAATAGTGGGATTAGCTATCCCATATAGAGTGATATGATAGCTAATCTAATGGTATATCCTTATTTTTCCCACCGTTATACCCAATGGCGGATCTACATGCTGTTTTTGCGTGCTCAAGCACCCATTATCTTTGACAAGATTTAGTAAATTTGTATAGGTAATTATAAAAATATTTAGATAAATATTAAGTGAGCACTCATAACTAAACTCTTTTTTCCTTTTCTTTCAGAATTTTTATCAATGAGCACCCACGTCTTTAAAATCCTGGATCCGCCACTGGTTATACCAAACGATCCCTATCGATATAATTTAACTTAATGGAGCAAGTTATATATCTTAATTTTCAAGTTATTAATTTAACTTATTATGGATAATTACTTGTGATCATCTTTTAGATAATGCGATCGTGTAAATATTTTTGCTTAGAAGTTAAACTCAAGTAGTGTGAAATGACATAAACACTCCCCCCCCCCCAAAGTTATCTCCCCACTTCTGACAGCTCGTGCCATGATACCACAAAGTCTCTAACAATATAACTAACGTTCGTCATCCTCTTTAATATCACACAGCAATAACTTGTTTGGCTTGCAAACAATTTCTTTTTGTTAAAACCCACATGGTGCATAGAACATTAGAACAACTGTTTACTGCCTAATTCGAAAAACCCTTTTTCCCCTTCTATATTTGTTAAAAGTGCTCGAGTTTGTAATAACCAAACAGCACTTATAAAACACCTTGCTTGTGTAAGGAAACTGCTCCTTAGCTAATTCTTATACCCTATCTTGACTTCTCCCTGCATTATTGTTGAATGTTGTTTTATGCCCATAAGGAATCCATCACTTGTATCATTTATTGTCACTTGTACTATTCCTACAACTTCATCTATCTCTTTCAACACTCTTCTATAAAAGGCTACTTCATTTTCTCCAAATTCTCATCTTGTGTCAAAGTTCTAAATTATGGAAATGAAGAAGATCTTTCTTGTTCTTTTCTCTTTAGCTCTGGTTCTTAGGCTCGGGGAGGCTTTCGATTTCCAAGAGAAGGAGTTGGAGACGGAGGAAAGCTTGTGGGAGTTGTACGAGAGGTGGAGAAGCCATCACACAGTGTCAAGGAGCCTTGATGAGAAGCACAAGAGGTTCAATGTGTTCAAGGCCAATGTTCACTATGTTCACGACTTCAACAAGAAGGACAAACCTTATAAGTTGAAACTTAACAAGTTTGCAGACATGACTAACCATGAATTCCGAAGCCATTATGCTGGTTCCAAGGTTAAGCATTACAGGGCACTCCAAGGAACTCCAAGTGGGAATGGAAGTTTCATGTATGCTAATGTGAACAACATCCCTCCCTCTGTTGATTGGAGGAAGAAAGGCGCCGTAACTCCTGTCAAAGACCAAGGCCAGTGTGGTAAGAATTAATATGTCATGATATCACTATTTCTTTTCTTTACAAAAGAATTGTTGTTTGGGGCCAGTTTGCGCGCATCTTGACTAATCCACCAGGTATCAGCTATCTTCCACTAGCACAGATTCCGAGTAGCTCTGTCCATCAATGCTTAACAGAGGGAGAGAAATCACCTAACGTTTTTTGTCTCTACTAGGATTCATGTCACTATTCACATCATGTTGCTATAATAGAAAGTAGGAGATCAACATAATGTGTTTCTTGATATGATTATTCATGGAAACTCTTCTACACATTGTAGGAAGTTGCTGGGCATTTTCAACTGTGGTAGCAGTGGAGGGAATAAACCAAATTAAAACGAATAAATTAATTTCTCTATCAGAGCAAGAGCTTGTTGACTGTGACACTAGACAAAACCAAGGATGCAATGGAGGATTGATGGACTTGGCATTTGACTTCATCAAGAAAAAGGGAGGCATCACTACAGAGGATAACTATCCTTACAGAGCTGCAGATGGAAAGTGTAACATCCAAAAGGTAAAGCTCTTTCACATAGGATAATTAACTCAGATTAGAAATTTTATTGAAAAATAATTATTGAATTGACAGGAGAATTCTCCTGCTGTATCAATCGACGGACATGAGGATGTTCCCCCTAATAATGAGGATGCATTGCTTAAAGCAGCTGCCAACCAGCCTATTGCTGTAGCAATAGACGCTTCAGGCTCTGATTTCCAGTTCTATTCTGAGGTAAAGTATATCACCATTACTTAAGTTCAAGAAACTCCTAAAGTACATAAACTTGAGACGTATTATATGCTTATTAAAAGAGTTTTAACTTATACACATTGAGATGTAAAGAAATTTTTACGCTATTTTAACCTGTTGTAGTCGGTACTGTAATTATTTTTTAAGTCAGTGATAGTGTTTTTGGTTTACAGGGAGTGTACACGGGAGATTGTGGGACTGAACTAGACCATGGAGTGGCAGTTGTGGGCTATGGTACAACTGTTGATGGAAGCAAATACTGGACTGTAAAGAACTCTTGGGGAGCTGAATGGGGAGAAAAAGGATACATTAGGATGCAGCGCGGAATTGATGCAAAAGAAGGATTGTGTGGTATAGCAATGGAACCCTCCTACCCAATCAAGACTTCAAGTAACCCTACAGGATCTCCTGCAACAACATATAAGGATGAACTCTAGATGCTCAGAGAATGTCCTTTAATGTTTGCTGAAATGTCATAAACATGTCAACAACATATGACCAATTTAATTTCCTTCTGTCAAATTACCTACTTGTCCAGACTTCAGAGTTTGATTCAATAAACAGTTATTACTTTCTACAAAACACATTTTTCTGCACAGAAATAAAAGTTCAGTACTATATGGACGGGTACTTCATTTAATGCTATTAGACATAAACAGTTTCTTTTTGCAAATATTCATTTTTCTGCAAAATAAAGCTTGGTAAATGGGCACATATTTTTCTTAGTCCTATTATTTTAATAACGGTGGACCACAAAATCACCTTGCAATTTTTTTTTTCTCTACTAAAATTTGAACCGTAATCTCCCGTGATTTTTTCCCACTTTGTGGACTGCTAGATCACACCCTTGGATGCACATTATTGTCTTTTCTTAATCCTACTAGACAACCAAGGATAAATATTCAATTCTACTATGGTATGCTTTCAACCAAAGCTGCCTCAGTCAGGACTTTAACTAATTTAAGTATAATTCACTACCATTTTCAGAACAAATGTGACAATATGCAGGGAGTGCTTAAGTAGAGAAAATACCTACAGGATAGTTTTAATATAATTTCTCCGCACGAAGAATTTCTGCATAATTTTTACTTATCCTTAAACTCCTGCTTAGCTTTCAATGATTCGGACTGAACTGATCTGTAATAGGACGGACTGAACTGATCTGTAATAGCATGTCCTATAGCTTACCACATCATTACCCTAGCAAATAAACATCACCTGTCAATATATATGTTGCTTTCTGTACATGTGTTAATAACCCTAGGTGGTAGATGCATAAATTCATAATGCATGAATGGAAGATATAAGGTACTTGTTAATTTGCTATGAGATATAGAGGGAGAGCACAAGGATACAATGTCACTGAAGAGTTCATTTTTCATGTTGAACAGTTGACACAATCAGAATTTACAGATTGCAGAAAAGAACACAACTGTATTTAACTTCCGAATAGCTTACTATTCATGACCAAATTGCACAAATTCAAAGAAATATTGACATATAGACATAGGACAATAACCCAAAAGAGACCAAATACAGGACCGGAACCTAAATATTATGTTTTTGGACTCAAAGTACATTAATAGGTGTAAAAAAAAATACATATCTATATATAGCGTATAAATAGAAGACGCTATACCTTAACGGTAACTTTTCCGTTAAGGTATAGCGTCTTGTTTTTAGACGCTATGCTGACTGGCCATTTGACGTGACAGCATAGCGTGTTGATTTTATACGCTATACATAGCATTTAAAAAAAACGTTATATCTTGATTACGGAGCCACCAATAATTTAACTGACATAACAGTAATTTAAAGTAGTATAGCGTCTATTTAAAGAACGCTATACGTCAAAAAATTTCCACTTCCCGGGCTAGCCATTTCCTATATATAGTGGTTAGGATTTTAGGAAAATTCGTTCACAAAAAATTCCAACTCCCATTCAACATTTTCTTGTTGTTAAATTCTTAAGCATTTTTTGCGTAATGTCTGAATAGCGTAGAATAAGAGTTTCATTATATGGGAAGGGGGGGGGGGTGATGTTGTGATGGAGAATAACTCTGTGAGGTATAGTTATCTCCACAGGGTCATGTTAAATTATCACTTACAATGGAGTACGATAAATTGATATCGTTGTTATGCAAAAAAAATGGGTGTGAGGAAACGTTCGGTGATACTCAAAGTAACCGGATATCCGTATTCCGTCACTCCGTAAGGAGCTACTTTTTACTCGGAGTTAAACATCTACGATGATGAAAGTTTGAGGGATTTTCTGATGACTCCGGATGAATACCGGGAATATCTTGTAATCAAAATGTTGGATATGTACGTCAAGGTCGAAGACGTTCCAAACAATGAGGTTGCCGGACAGGTTTCGGATAACCCTCAGTCATCGGGTGGTTATTCTGGAGGAGTTTTTGCCGGACAGGTTCTGGATGAAAGAGTTTTCCTTGATTTAAACTTACCCCTCCTGCTTTACAAAATTCACAAGACGAGTGGTAAGCTTCAATTTTCCTTTGTGTTTACGATGTACATTTTTGTGTATTGAATTTGAATTAACGCTCATATATTTAACAGGGGGTAAAGGCCATACCATTACTAAAAGAAAGACATATCTTGGGCGCAAACGAGCGTTTGAAATAGTCTATGGTAACCGGGATAAGTCATTTGCAGATCTGCCTAGGTACATGGCTGCACTGCAGCAGTTTAACCCCGGGACGGTTGTTGAATGGAAGCTTGAGCGGAGTAAGGGTAAACCAGAATATATATTCAATTACGTGTTCTGGGCGTTTAAACCAGCAATTGATGGTTTTTCGCACTGTCGGCCGTAATATCCATAGACGGCACTAATGTCTATGGAAAGTACGATATCAAGCTGTTGATAGCCGTGGCAGTAGTTGCTAATGGACAGATATTTCCTCTAGCTTTTGCTATTTGTGCCAATGAAAGCCAAGAGACATGGACTCTATTTTTGAACCACTTGAAAGAGCACGTTGTCAAACAGCGTTCCGGTATCTGTCTAATATCTGATCAGCACGGTGGTATCTTAAGTTCTGTGGAGAACTTGCCTGCATGGCAACAACCTTATGCCTACCATCGTTACTGTGTTAGGCACCTTAAAGCCAATTTCCAGAAGGCATATCCCAACAAGGATCTGCATGATTTGATGTGGATGGCAGCAACAGACCACCAACAACATAAATTCCGGAGGCACGTGGAATATATCAGGCAAGAAGATGAGGCAGCCTATCGTTGGTTAATGCGACATGACCCTGAAATGTGGACCTTGCATGCGGATGGTGGCAGACGATGGGGAACTCTGACTACAAATGTGTCAGAGTCTTTCAACGGGTTATTGAAGTCGGCAAGAGGATTGCTTGTCACAGCCATGGTGCGGATGTCGTTCAAGCAAATGGCGGAGAGGTTTGTTGAAAGGTCTGCAGCTGCAACGTCATTGATGGAAAGGGGTGTTGAATTTATGCTAGTGCCGATGAAGAGATTTGAGAAATACAGATGGCGAGCACATTGGCATTCATTTTTGCAGTATGATAACGAAAGAAATGTTGATTCCTATTCAAAGAGTGCATAACCGCATGGATAAGCTCACACTAACCCGTCAATTTGGGATCCAAATTCGAGATTTTCCTTGGGAACAACCTGTTCTTCCTGAATATCCCGATTTAAGGCTAAAGAATTTCCTGCCGCTACCATATAGTATTCATCTCTACCTGGTGATAAATAAAGCATCCGTACCCCGGTTGACCTCTCAGAAATTTCATAAAAAGGGCTTTCTAGAGATCCCCAATGACCAATCCTCGCATGAATTGCTAAGGATCCAATAAGTCCAACATTGATTCCCTCAGATGTGTCAATTGGGCAAATACGTCCATAGTGACTAGGATGGATATCTCGTATCCGAAAACTAGCAGTGCGCCCTGTCAGTCCTCCAGGGCCCAAATAGCATGTTTTTGAAGTTCGCACCGCTATCCATCAAAATCGGGGTAATAATGTACATACTGTAAATGAATCTACAAGGTTATGCTCTTGTGGAAAATGGTCCATCTACCACATGCCTTGCTCACATGCCATCAATTGCTTTCAACAAGTTGGTTTAGGTGCAACCAACTATGTTGATCAACAATATAGTGTTTCGAAGTACCTAAACACATATAGTAGGCAGTTGCAACCAGTGGGTGCTGAACATTATTGGCCACCTGAACCATTTAAACTAGTGTGTAATAAGTCCTATTTGCGCCGAATACAGGTGAAGAAGAGAATGCGTATACGGAACCAAATGGATGCTAGTGATACCGTTTATGTGCACAGATGTGGTATATGCTCGCAAACAGGACACGACCGTCGAAAATGTCCTTCGGCTGGTTTGAGTGGCAATAGTACTCAAGCTCTTGGTGGTCCTTCTTCTATTATGCCTAACTATCACTGAGTTTATGTTGTAATAGGACGTTGCTATGTTTATGTTGCAAGTTTTATAAAATAAAATTATGTTTGTTAATTATGAGTTGAACTTTTCCATTTCAATTTTTCTAATGATATTTTAAAAAATTATTTATTCGGAAGAATTGGAAACAACTTTGAAATATCATAAGGCTAATTAATTTAATTTTAATTATGTTTGTTTTTTATATATAAGTGTTGTCTTGTCCAACTGACATAAAGTTGTTTCGTACTTGTCGGAACCTTTAACATGCAAAGAATAGTGTGGTCAAATAGTACGTTATGTCTATATATAGCGTGGTCAAATAGTACGTTATGTGTGTTGTCTTGTCGAACTGAAAAGGCTGCCCAACTGACATAAAGTTGTTTCGTACCCGTCGGAACATTTAACACACAAAGCATAGCGTGGTCAAATATTACGTTATGTCTATATATAGCGTGGTCAAATTGTACGCTATGTGTGTTGTCTTGTCGAACTGAAAAGGCTGCCCAACTGACATAAAGCTGTTTCGTACTCGTCGGAACATTTAACACGCAACGCATAGCGTGGTCAAATAGTACGTTATGTCTATATATAGCGTGGTCAAATAGTACGTTATGTGTGTTGTCTTGTCGAACTGAAAAGGCTGCCCAACTGACATAAAGCTGTTTCGTACCCGTCGGAATATTTAACACGCAACGCATAGCGTGGTCAAATATTACGTTATGTCTATATATAGCATGGTCAAATAGTACGTTATGTGTGTTGTCTTGCCTATAAATAACGAGCTCATTCTACATATTTTCTGCGCTCATCAATAATTAATAGCAAATCTTTCAAGAAAAGAGAGTTTTTTTTAACGCACAAATGGCTCAACCTCTTTATGTACCAAGGTGCGAGTGTGGAAAAAAATGCATGACGCAAAGATGTTGGGATAATGGTGAAGCTGGAAGCTGCTATTGGCACTGTATGAACAAGTTTTATAAGGTTCCCGACGAACCTACTTGCGATTTTGAGGTATGGCTTGATGAACCCTGTCATCAGGAATACTACAAAGAATTATTGCAGCATCTTCATAATGTGTGTGCACAACAGTGGGAACGTGAAGAAGAACGTAAAAAAGAGGTTGCGGAGTTGAAAGCAAAACTTAAAGAGGTAGAAGAAGAAAAAAATAAGCTGGAAGAACAAT